GGCATGATCTTTGGCTGAACCTGGTACCCAGTCTAGTTAGACAGTTTGCCTTGGAGATCCTGAGTCTCTGTCTCCAGAGGGCTAAGCTACATGGCTCTTGGGTTCTAAGGACCCAAACTCCACTCCTCATGCTTGCAGAATGGGCACTCTATCCAACGGACCGTCTCCCCAGCCCAGGAGGCTTTACTTTGTACTAAGCAAGAAAGGAGATGGGATCTATCTCTTAAGTGATGCAGTGATACTTGATGTCTAGGTCATAAGAGATGGGAAGGACCAAAGGAAGTGACAAACAGAACAGTTATATTATCGCTTTAAAAGGTAAAGAGACCTGATCCAAAGCTGGAACTTGGAAAAGAACAGAGCCAAGAAGATTGCAGAAAGTTAAGCAGGCAGACCAGACAGGGTCTGACTGAATGAATAAAAGTACTAATATGAAGACTTTAATGTGTGCATGTATGTGAGTGTTTATGTACACTGTTTCAGTTTTCTTTTCTCCAGTACTGTGGATCAAACCCAGAGATCTGCTGTGTGCCAGGCAAGCATACTACCACAGACATACATGCAGCCCTCTATCTTTACTTTTTAGTTTTGAGATAGACTCTCATTAAGTTGACCAAACTGGACCTGGAACTTGCTTTGTGGCCCAGGAAGGTCTTATATTTGCAATGCCCCTGCTTCAGCATCCCCAGGAACTAGTATTTTACAGGCCTGTGCCACTGGGTCCAGCAAGATTTTATAGTTTGTATTCCTATAAGGTATTTCATGCATGTACGTGGAAAGGTTTCACTTTACAAATACATTCTACAAATATTTAAAACACAGAAACTGAGTTGGAGGGTGTCATTGTAAACATTATTCAAAATTAAAATTTTATTTTCAATAGCTATGTTTAAAAAGAAACTAACCAGAGGCCTGAGAACTGGGTCAGTCAGTAAAGTGCTTGTGTCATGAGCAAAGGCCTGAGATCAACCTTCAGAGCCTTAGTAAAAATATCAGACCTATTCTTATAATCCCAGCGCTGTGGAGGTAGAGGCAGGAGGACATTGGGGCTTGCTAGCCTGGGTGTGGCAGCAGCCCAGCCTAATGGGTGAGCCCCAGAACAGTGAGAGAGACTGCCTCAGAAGAGATGGGTGTGGGGGAAGGGCTGGAGAAATGGCCAAGCCAGTAAGAGCACTTGTTGCTCTTGCAGAGGACCAGGGTTCAGCTTCCAGCACCCACACAAAGTCTAACAGTCATTCATAACTGACTCCAGTCCCAGGGGACCTAACCTCCTCAGAGCTCTGTGGGCATCAAGCAGGCATGATGAACATACACACATGTAGGCAAAATTCCCGAATACATAAAATACTAAGGTAGAGGAAACAGTAAAGCTGAAAATTAAGTCAAGTGTGGTGGCGCACGCCTTTAATCCCAGTGCTTCAGAGGCAGGGGCAGGCAGATCTCTGTGTATGAGGCCAGCCTGGTCTACAGAGTGAGTTCCAGGACAGCCAGGGCTACTGTCTTGGGGAAAAGGAAAAAGGGAGGGAGGGAGGGGAGGTGGGGGGGAGGGAGGGAGGGAGGGAGGAAGGGAGGATATTAAGGTTGCACTTTAAAGACAAGAGAGAGAATGATGGGTGTGGTGGCACATACCTTTAATCCCAGCACTGAGGAGGTGGAGGCAGGGGGATTTCTGCAAATTTGAGGTCAGCTCCATCTCCACAGCAGGACAGCCAGGGCCACATAGAGACCCTGTTTCAAATACCCAAAATAAAAAATAGTGTGTGTGTGTGTGTGTGTGTGAGAGAGAGAGAGAGAGAGAGAGAGAAAGAGAGAGAGAGAGAGAGAGAGAGAGCACTTATGAACAATCACATGCATTCCTGAAGACATCTTACACTGGCCTCTCTGGCCTCTACCTGCATACACAAATGTGCACATTTACCTCTGTAAGTGCACACACACACACACACACACACACACACACACAGAGGAACATGCACACATGTGCACACATATTTTTAAAATAAAACAGTCATGTTTTTAAAATGTTTAGAACAAATTACCTGGTTATCAATTACCAAATAGCAGCTTTCCTACACTTGACAGTTTGAGAACTAGCCCTGGTGCTGGTTAGATTTTTGTCACTTGACACAAGCAAGGCTCATCTAGAAGGAGGGAACATCCAGGGCTTTTACACTGAGAAGCCCTGCCTTGTTTTAAAAAAAAAAAAAAAAAAGAAGAAGAAGAAAGAAAGAAAGAAATGAAGAAAGAAAGAAAGGAAAAAGAAAAAAAGAAAGAAAAGAAAAAAATATAATCACCAAGGAAAAAAATCAGACATTGTCAAGGAAAGTTAGTAACAGACAAAGCCCAAAAGAAAAAAAAAGAGGTCATACTAAACACAATCATGAAAATACAACACAAAAATTGAATTTTACTCGACAAGTAAAAACAGTCATTATTAAAAAAAAAAAAAATCTATTGGATTTTCTTTTCGGGTTTTGTTTTTTTTTTTTTTAAATTAATATACTAAGCCTATTTTACTTGCTCCTGTAACCCTGGCTAGTCACTCTTAGTTCTGAACATGATCAGAAAACTGGCAAAGCCGATAAATGTACTGAGGATAAGGGGCTTGTGTACTGAGGATAAGGGGCTTGTGGTGAAGACAGGGGAGGGAAAAAACAGGTCACAACATACATTACATGTACCCTGACACTGATCTGTTTAGATCTCAAAACTATGCATCGGGACTGTCAAAACATTTTATTAGATACATTACTAGAGAACAGACCAACGTGACAGCAGGACACGTTGGGAAACCTTTTAACTTTTAAGTGAACCTCCAGTTCTGGGGGAAATAAAAAAAAGTAGAATATGAATTGAGCTTGTTGTAAAAGTAGATGACATCACTGAGAGAGCTTAAACCAATTTTTTTTTTTCCGCTTGCTACTTTTACAGAAAATCCTGAGACTCAAGAGTAATCATAAGTTAAAACAGAGAAAAAAACTGACCCCCTCCAAACAACCACAGATACAAGCCTCCAAAAGCCTTCTGTCATCGTAGATACGAGGTAGGACTGAAATAGTTCCTGAGACCCTCGGGTTTATTTTCCACTTCTTCTGGGAACACAAACGCAGAAGATAACAGAGAAGCAAGAACAGGCAGAACTGACTCGGATTTGCATTAAGTATTTTTAGACTTCATGCAGGGAAATGTTAGAACAGAAATAGTTGACATTCTACAGAGGAAATCCAGACATTTCTCCATCTTCTGCTAGATTGTCTATCAGAATTGATACTTGTCTAATTTGTTTTGTAGAAATGCCATCTGCTTCTCCCAAGTCCTTCTCCTGAGCGCCATGGAGACCTTCGAAATTCACAGCAGCAAGACTGCCTTTCCAATATAGAGACCCTTCAGGTGGTGACACAAAACATCCCTTCTCAGAGGAAAGCAGTCACTGAGGTATATCTTAAGTGGAATGATGCCCCCACCTGCATGTGCTATGGAGCTGAAGGCTCATGTTTATTGTTTCTACACAAGGTCTACCAACAGTAATGAGGTAGGCATTTGTCAAATTCTATGAGTCACAGAACATACAACTGTCACTAGCCAATCCTCTTGCAACTCCACGCATGGACCACAAAAGGAACTTTATAAATATGCTTTATCAGGATATATGAAATTCTTTTTGTGGTCCTAACTATCAGGGCAATTCACCACATTTATTTTACATAGTCAAATACCTACACATGAAATGTGCAAGCATTTGCACATGTAAGAACCTAAAGAATATTAATGTTTCATTTTGTTGTTGTTAGTTTTTCAAGACAGGGTTTCTTTGTGTAGCTTTGGAGCCTGTCCTGGAACTCAATCTGTTGACCAGGCTGGCCTCGAACTCACAGAGATCCATCTGCCTGCCTCTGCCTCCAGTGTGCTGGGGATCAAAGGCCTGGCTTGTTTCATGCATTTGATTAGAAAAATGCATATGCATACATGCGCACAAGAAGAGGGAGTAGGGTAACATCCTACGGGATGTAGTTCAGTTGGCAGAGTGCTATATGTATTCATGAAGTCTTGGAAGAAACACACACACACACACACACACACATACACTTTGCTAAGTGTGTGATGCATACCTGAAATCTCAGCACATAGTAGGTGGAGGAAGGAAGATCAGGAGAAGTTCAAGACCTGCCTGGGATACTAGAGACACCGTCTCAACAAAAAGAGAAAGTAGGGGAAAGACAGAAAATTGGACTGGGGGGGATGAAACTATGAATGAAAATGAATGAATATGAACCCCACATAAACCCTCCAAATTCTCCAGTTCTCCTACAAAAAGCCTTTAACTTTTGCAATCAGAAAATAAAAGTTAAATAGATCCAGGCTTTCTAATCCAGAAGCAACAGTTAATCTGGATTAAAGACACTGAGTAGTTCAAACTCCCTGCAAGCCACTGAAGAACAAATCCTGCCATACTTGGTTTGGCAGAAGGCTGCAAGACTGCCGGCGCAGTATCAACCTCCTTTTCTCTGCGGCCTTAGCAAGCGGAGCAAAGTTGTTTCATACAAACTTGGTCAAGTGCTCCTGCAGAACTCTCCCAGCTCTCCCGTGATCCCGCCCCCGTGGCAATCCAAGTCCCCAACACCCTACCCGGGACCCCTTCCTTCTCGACAGAGGCTCCGGAAGCCAGTCCCCTAAATCTGAGCTCCCCAGCTCCCCTCCATGCGCTTTCACCTACAACAGCCGCGGTGGGCTGCAAGGAACACAAAGTCCCGACTAGACGTGGCGGCAGCCGCCCCGGATTCCCCTGCCCTTGCACGAGCGGCTCCACCTTTCCCAGCCTCAGTTTCCCAACATACTGCCCTCGCAGGCGGCAGAAGGGTTTCGTCGAGGCAAGGGTTCTGGACTAAGCGCGCATACCTTCCTCCTCTCCCTTCCTCTCCCAGGCGCCGGGACCAGCATGGACTCCTCCGGGTTGCAGTGTCCCTATGCCCGTCCCGGTCGCCCCGGCTCGGTGCCCATACCTGGGAGCTGCTGTCTTGGGGCAGGTTTTTCACCAGGATTTTCCGCCGGTTGCTCAGCTCCCGCCGCATCCGCTGCAGCCGCGCGGCCACCTCCTGGGGGTGCAGCGCCGCCACCTCTCCCGGGCGCAGCGCGGGCTCCGCGGCCTCCCCCGCCGTCCCAGCAGAGGGTCCGGATCCCAGGCCCGCGTCCCCCGCGCTGCCTCCCCGCGCCGCCATCTTCCCGGCGCCCCGCTGCAGACTCGCCGAGGCCGGAACGAAGCGGGAGAGAAAGCGGAGAGGCCGCGCGGGGGCGAGGCGGGCCGGACGCGGAGCAAGGGCGCGCGGGCGGGGGAGGCGCCGCAGCCGCCGACGCGGGAGGGGGCGGAGCCCGGAGACACGCCCAACCCAGACACGCCCCCGATGCCCCACCTCTCCTCCCCCCAAGGACACCTGCCTGAGCTAGGATGCTGTGCCATGGTGGGATTCGAACCTCGAAACGATGCTTCCCTGGCTCATGGTGCTTGGCCTCGCCTCCCAAACTCGGGGCCCCCAGGCACCACTGCGCGGTCCAAAGAAATCAAGATGTGCGTATTTGGCAAAGTTTAAGTTATCGACATAAAATAACATAACAGGTTTGTCTCAGAAGAAAATATTTGGGGGGGAAGGTTTGATATATTTCATAGGGTCTGAGCATGAAAAATTTCCTAGTTATGTATAAGAAATCATTATCTTTCGTTGGTCCCTATGCACTCCTAAGATGGACAACCTGGCAGGCTGTGTTTGCAACACAAATCAAAGCAGAAACAAAGACTGGAAGAGTTATGGCAGAGAGCAGGAGAAAAGGTTTCTCGATTATTTGAATTGAAACTTGGAAGGAGAAGTACTGTGTAGAGATATACTTAGTCAAAGTGAGATCTACAAAATCTAATAGCCTTTGATTGCCATCAGTTGGAGTGACCATTATTAAACAGGAACACACACATGAAGTGTGCCCCATGAAAATGCATAATGCCAGCATGTAATGCATTAAAAGAAGGTCTTTTAAACAGAACCAAAGTGTGTAAGTGGGGGGTTTTAAATATCATGAAGGGGCTGGAGAGAAGGGGAGACCATTTAGTCCTTACAGGAACTTGCTGCTCCTGCAGAGGACCACAGCACCATTCCCAGTACCCAAGTCAGATGACTCACAACCCCTGTAACTTCAGTTCCAGGGGATTCGATGTGCTATTCTGGCTTCCATAGGAACACACACACACACACACACACACACACACACCATGAATTCAGTACTAACCAGGAATCATCCACATATTTCTAAGCATGTTACAGTATCTCACTTAAAAAATCCAATTAGGTAAGGTTTATTTTCTTCATATTACATGTGAAGAAGTGGAATCTGGTCTGATTAGACTCAATGAGCTAAATAATAAAAAATAAATAATCTGTAATCATTCTACCCCAAAATTATGGTTTCTAATCCTCAAACCGTTGTCAAATAGTTACCATTAAAATGATTCAGGGAGGGCTGGAGAGATGGCTCAATGATTAAGAGCACCTAGGTTCAATTCCCAGCACCCAGATGGCATCTCACACCTGACTGGACTCCTGTTCCAGGGGATCCAACTCCCTCACATAGACATACACGAAGGCAGAATACTACCAATGTACATAAGATAAAAAAAAATTAAAGTTTAAAATCATTCAGGGCAGTACCCCAGTATTTACACAGCCCTGGTGAAGAACCAGTAAGCCCATTGCAGTCAGTCTAAACACACAATGGGATATTTTTCAGCCATAAAAGGAAGGCAACTACTGCCAAGAGTCAGGTGGCCCTCCAGACCAATAAGTGAAAAAAACGCTAGAGACAATGGGCACATACTGTGTGATTCCATTCGTAGGAGCTTCAGGAAAATGCACACAGGAAAAGCAGGAGTGGCTCACATATCCCTTTGAAGCAATAAAAATGTTTTGGGACTAGAGAGGTGGCCGTTGGCAAATGGTGTGGAAGTACTCAGCATTGCCTCTGTTTTTAACTGGTTAATGATGTGAAATTCACCTTATAAACACTTCATTTTGTTTCTTTTCCTGTTTCCATGATTTAAAAAAAAAATACTCCAATGAAAGCAACTTAAGGGAGAAGAGGTTGATTTCAGTCCATGGTTCAAGAACAGGATCCACCCTAGCAGAGGGATCAATGTGCCAAAAGCTTGAAGCATCTGATCACACTGTTACCACAATCAGGAACAGAAAAGTGCATGCCTCTCACTCTCCATTTTCACACTCCAGGATCCCAGCCAGAGGGTAGGAATGCCCACGGGGGAAGGGTGTACTGCTTACTATTTTTCAGTGCCTTTGTCAACTTCACACAAGCTGGACTCATTTGGAAAGAGGGGACCTCAACTGAGGAATTGCCTCCATCAGGTTGGCCTGAAGGCAAGAGCATGGGGCATTTTCTTGATGAATGGTTGATGTGGGAAGTCTCGACACACTGTTGGCAGTACCAGCCCTGGGCAGGTGGGCGGAATAAGCCATAGGGAGCAAGTCAGTAAGCAATGTTCCTCTGTGGTTCTGCTTAGTTCCTGCCTCCAGTTTCCTGCCCTGACTTCCTTTCAGGATAGACTGTAAACTACAAGATGTAAATAAACCCTTTCCTCCCCAAGGTGCCTGGTCAAGATGTGTACCATAGCAACAGAAAGCAAACTAAGACACGGAGTCTTCCCATCTTCATTCATAGATTCAAGTTAAACTCCCAGAGGTATGCTGTGGTGGTTCGAATGAAAATGGTCCCCATAGGCTCATAGGGAATGGCACTATTAGGAGGTGTGGCCTTGTTGGAGGAAGTGTGTCACTATGTGATTTCAGATGCTCAAGCCAGGCCCAGTGTCTTTCTCTCCTCCTGCTGCCTGTGGATCCCGATGTAGAATTCTCAGCCTACCATTCCAGCACCACATCTGCCTGCATGCTGCCTTGCTTCCCACCATGATGATAATAGACTAAACCTCTAAAATTGCAATTAAATGTTTTCCTTTATAAGACTCAACATGATCATTGTGTCTCTTCATAGCAATAAAATCATAACTAAGAATATGCCTTTAGGCTAACCTAATTTAGATAATCCCACATGAGTATGCCTGGAGGCATGCCTTCTAGGTATCCCAGATCCTGTGGAGTTGACAATTAACACCAACCATAGTCTATCATATGAAATATTTTCTTGCCCAATATTTTAAAATTATTAACATTTGGGGCTATATGTTGCTCTAAGATGAAGATTACTATTTGTACTTCACTAATTTTGATATAGTACACTTTTTAATCTACTGTAATCTGCAGAGGTTTAATATCCTTGTATCTATATTTGGAGACCTTTGCCTTTCCAGAGAACGAAGGATAGGAGTGACTTCTGGCCCAGGAATGAATGTATTTTAAAGGTCTGGAAATGTAGCTCGGAAGTGTTTTCTTCAGTTTCTCCCATCATGAGCTCTGCAAGCAAGTGCTTTTCTCTCAGCTCCCACCCACAATATTCTAATGTCAAAACTCTCTCACTTTTATTTTAAACTTTATTCCTTTGATTTAAATTTCATGCATCTTAAGCGTAAATGGAGCCTGGTTTCATAGAACTGAGGGACTTTGAAAGGCATAGTCTTCAAAGTGGGCAAGAACCAAGAATAGCCTCAGCGAGTACAGTATCCAGACTCCTTCATTACGGTTCAGAACATATATTTATCCAAATGAATACCGTCCTTGACAAACATCTATTAAAGGTTGGTTATGTTCTAGACAATACATATATAAAGGCACTGAGAATACAAAAAAAAAAAAATACAATAAATGTCCTGACAGATAAGGGCCAGGCCTCGCTAGGAGAGAATTATATAATGATTATAATTAAGTGTAATTAATTAGTGTGCCTGCAGAAGTTCAGGGGCAGCCCTAGGAGGCAGTGAGCTTACCCGACTTCAACCATACTGCATATGCATAAAGCCTTTCCCCAATGGCGGATTTGCTACTGACTTCAAAACCTACAGCCAATTATTCTAAGTGAAGTGTTGTTTGAAGTCAAGTCTGGTAAATGGTGAATGAATCAGCTCTCTCTCTCTTTCTCTCTCTCTCTCCCCCCCCCTTCTCTCCCTCTCTGCTGTGATGATAGTTGTCCAGGTTTCAGATTCACAATCTTTTCTTGTTACTTCAACTGTTTTCAAATAATGTGGAAAAAGGTAACAATGTACTGATTAAACATTTTAAAACCGAATTGATTGTTCTTGCCACATAAAAAAGAGAAAGAGAGATGAAAGATACAAGGGCTTGAGAATTCTAGTCTTCATGACTCGGGAGAGGTCTTTTCATTGTAGGTTTTAAAGCTGACTCAAAATTGTAGCTTCTACAGAAAGAAACAAGGAGACTCGAATCTGAACTCTCCATGGAGTGTAATTATCAAGCTGCAAGGGATTTACCCATATCCATGGGTCATTATCATGATCTATGTAATTACCTTGTTCTTAAAATATGAGCCATGTGTTCACTTTAGCCTTTAAAAAAATATGGATGGGCGAGTGACAATGGGGGAAAATCTTGCAGAGGTATAATAAGCCTTACTACTCCTAATTAAAAAAAAAAAACAAAAAAAACAGCTCCCTGTATTCGAACATTGTAATTGTATAATATGTTACTTGGATCAAATAAATTAAGTTTGGGTAGGAAAGCAGCTTAGCTTGTGGAGGACTGGGTTAGTATGCAGAAGCCCTGGGTTCCATCCTCAAACCACATCATTCAGGAGGAGAATCAAAGTTGGAGATTATCTTTGGCTACATAGTGAGTTTGAGGCTATTGTGGGACACATGTGACGGCCGGGGGGGGGGGGAAGACAAGAAAAGGGATGGGGGAAAAAGAGTTAAGTATGTTAATTACATTTGACTGACTGTCGCATAATATATAACAGGTATCTACAATGCATCAGACATAGGCACAGGGCACTGGATTTGCCTTTTTTAGACCAGGCTAACCTCAAACTCACAAAAATCTGCCTGCCTCTGCCTCCCAAGTGCAGGGATTAAAGGCATGTGCCACCACTGTCCGGCACTGGATTTGACATTTATTCAAAAATGGACCTTTCCCTAGAGTAATTACATCTCTGGAATTTCCAGCTCTGCTTGGTTAATGCTGTTAATAGCGTGCTCAGTAGCTCGGGTGATGGCTTGATTTTGACTTGAGAACACCCTGAGAAGTCAGCTATTGAAAAACTAGAGGTTTTGTGTGTGAGGAGAGGTAAGTCCTGAGACACACAGTACCAGTGCATCAGAAGCAACAAGATGTGGTACTCATGATTCCAGTTGTGAGAGGTTAATTCCATTT